TAAATAAGCTCTCACCTAGCAATGGGAGAGATACTTGCTCAATGAAACTAGTTTTATGGTATTTTTTAAAGTGATTGAGCAAAAGTCTGCCGCCAAGTTGCCAAACTTACATACATTACATTGTTTTTCTTGGCGGAAAAAGTAATGATTTATTAACTTTTTTGGATTGCTGACTTGGCGGGGAAAGTGTTACCACTTAGTGGTTTTTTGTTAGATTTTATTTATTTTTGTAGAAAATTAACAGTTAAAATAAAAATCCTCTTTTCTCTTATATATAGACCACGGCACAACTACATCAGTAGATGAGTATTGTATGTTTGCCCTGTGCAGATGGGATAAACAAGAAAAGTGGGATTGACCTTCGGCCAACCCCACTTTTCTTGTTTAACCCATCTGCCACGGTCAAACATACAATACCTCTCCAAATTAATTGGATTAATTTTTTCTTTTCAAATAAATAAAAATATATAAATATATTGAGAAAAAAAATACTTAATGGCATTGGACTATCATATTTTGATGTTCGGTACATATGTAACGTGTAGACTACAAGTAGAATATTCTGTTGTGGGTTATATTTCGCTAATGGAAGTTGAAATTAATATTTACATATGGTACTAAGGGTTATTCCCACCCTGCCTGGATGGATTAATAGAATAGTTATTTAGACTAAGCCACGATTTTGGAACCTGGTGACCTCACTGATGCACGTGAAAGCTGCTAACAATGGATGGCTGGCAATTCCTAATCCGCTAGGAATCATAGTTTCACTTGACTATTCTGAGTAAGTCACACTTTGAGAATCTGGTGATTAAGCTGGCAGGCGTGAAAGCTGCTAACAATGGTTGCTAGAATTTCCTAATCCGTTAGGGAGCATAATTTCACTGGACTGAAATAGTGTAAATCCGTTGGTGTAATCTTAAATTTTATGGTAATAATGAGGGTCTTTTAAACTACTTTGATAATTAGTTACCCAATATGTTTTAATTTTGCTCTAAACTTTGTCCACTTATTAGTTGAAAATATCTTATGGTTTTAAACAAAAACTCTGATGTGATACAATTACCTCAAATAGATATAGTGTTTATCGTTGGGGATCACTGTATAATTTACTAGAACGTAATTGTGTTACATTGTAACCTTGTGATATTCTGAATTACTGCTATATCTACATTAGCTGTCCACTAAAATTTTTATAAAATAAAGTGCGTGTAATTACAATCGCTAAGTTAACCGGGTGGAAATAGTGGTCCACTAGATTTCTGGAATATTGCTATCACTCTTGTGTTAGCCTATATGATCAATTTGTAACTAAGTAAGCTAGGGTTATTAAAGCCGCATATTATATTATGTTGTTGTAACAGTTATTACTTATCGTGGTGTTATTTGTTATAAACCTTTTTTTAAGTAAACTAAATTTATTTAACAAGTAAACGTAGGCTAAATTATCAATTATATTATGTAGACAGGGTTAAGACATTAGTTACAGAGTAAAACTCATTCACAACTGCCATAGCCTAAATATAATTTCACACCGCCCCTATATAAGCGCTATATAAGCTCTTCGTAAGCCACTCGCTACAAGTTCCGTGTTATACGCGAAGTACCTCTCCGATCCGACAATGAGTTCGACTGGTGTTAGTGCGTTGTGGGAGCTATCTGCGGTGAAGTTTTGTGTTTCGTTGAATGATGCGTCGGTGATTGAGGAGTTACCTTTACCGCTAAGCGTTAAACAGTATTTACGGTCTCGGGCTCATGATCTTTGGTGGAGTCAAACACCAATGACGCCACCTGAAGACATTAATTATACTTCCGTCAACTTAAAAAACTTGTCGCGAGAAGAGTTTGTGATGATTGTGAGATATCCAGATGAGGACCTTGGCATTCCAGAATTCCTCCCGGAGCAATGTCATGTAGTGTATAAGTTCTACTTTTGTAGTAATCCTAGGGGAAGCTATAGGATGTGTGAGTCCTGTTTTAGGAAGCATTGTTCATACAACCGTGGGGACATCAAACGCATGTGGGGGGTTGATGCCGATGATTGGCAATATTCGAGAGACACTGACCACGATGTCCTTGATTCGGACGTGGTCCTCTACAACGTGTTGTGGAAAGAGGAGAATTATTGCTGTATTTGTTTGCATCGTCCCCTATTTGAAATTCTTGAAAAGGAGGATTGTGTTGTACAGACCAATTATCACCATCCAGAGTCAGACTCTGATGATGATATGATGCACGACTACCGTGTGTATTGTTTTGTAAAAAGACTTAGGGTTGTTAGGGAGTAATAATAGTAACAAGTGTTGTGAAATAACCTTTTGTAAATATATGTATATAGTGTTGTGTGAATTGAACTCTTTGTCAATTTGTATCATTTTGCTATTAATTGTATGTGTATTGGGACTTGAACATTTAAATTTGAATTTCCCTCCTCGTTATTCCAACCCCGCCCCCTCCACCCCCTACGAGACAGAATTCACCACTTAGGTGTTGTCAGAGCCACCCCCTCCCTTACAACACAAGCGCGCTTCTCTCAACCTGACTTGTTCAGTCATTCGTTTGCGCGCTCTAGTACGGACAACCAGACCTACTAGACCTGCTACATCTGCTAGACCTGCTAGACCTCCTAGAACTATACAACACTATTTAAGGTAAGAGTTAACAACGTAACATCGCTTGTATTTATCCCCATGTAATTCTCTCTATAGTTTGTAGTACACACACACACACACACACACATACAAGCGCGCTATTTATTATTAATATGAAAGTTACATAGATTTTTCATTTTCCTGATTCGATGTTAAGTTTATGAGTAAGAATAATTTTTTTTTATAATGAAACATTTGTATAAAAACGGTTTGAAGTCAATCTTCATGTAAGACGACCAAATACTTCAATTATCAATTTTTTTCTTCTTCGTTTTATTACATAAGTTTACTAATATGATAAAACCTTTCATTCAGTAGGTTCTGTTTCTTATCATATTTGTTAGCCTATAATATAAAGCTCTCTGTTGAAATAAAATTTGGCTTTGAGTTAGCGTAAAATAAAAAAAGTTTGTCAACTTGTACATTTCTAAAGTTTAATAAACTTTTATTAAGATCTCTTTATCTCTATAACGCAATATAAACTAAAGCTTTCTAATATGTTTTTAAATGCGTGTTACAGATGGCGTTTCAGTGCAGTGTTTGTAATGCCAGTTTTACCCTAAAACACAACTTATCCCGTCATGTGTCGAGTGTCCATGGAGATGGTGATACCTTTGAGTGTAATGAGTGTGGCAAAGACTTCCAGTCTCGACGCAATCTTCAGCGTCACATTACCCTCCACTCAAGTAAGAACCAACGACATATTATTCTAGAACATTTGTCTAACCATTCTATTAACACTGATGTTTTATTTTTATTTTGATTTTTACATACGTACAACATAATATAACAAAGTAAATTGTTCATTCATATATTCTCCACCTTACTGTTTACCTTACAAACGGTTCTATAATATACTGAATAAAAATATAGTAATGTTTTGGGAATTTAAGTAACCGTAAATCAATCTAAACAGAAATTGCCTCAAACCATGAATATAAAGGGTTGGTTCTGAATTAACAGGCTCTTAATTCCACAACATAGTATGTGTAATTCAGCAAAGTTTAGTGCTAAATGATTAGGATGTGACAATGAAAAAACAATGAGTAAATAACATGTCTCTGAAACACAAACTCTCATGATATGAACACATTGTAAACAACTATAGTTATTCTGTTTTATTTCATTTCTGGGGAAATTATGTTTTAGAACGTATGAAGCTAGACTCAGGCGTAGCTGAGGACGAGTGTCTGCCCAGCACTTCTAGAGCTGGTGAAGAATGTGCGGCAGGAGAGACTCCTTCAACTTCGTCTGGGTCCCATACTCCATCAACATGCTACAAGTGTGACGACTGTGGCAAGTCATTCAACCATAGGAGAAACCTTGTTGCTCACATGAAGACCCATGGCACTATTGGTAATTTAATATCTATCTATTATGTATTGAAAGTAAGCAAATTAAAGAGTAAAAAAAAAATTAATATATAAAATGTATATGTTTAAACTAAACCCTTTACGAAGTTTTAAAAGTAATAAATAAAAATTGTAATTAACTACAAAATCAAGCATTGTTTTTTTCTTCTTTTATTACTTTGAAAGATCGCCATAACAATATCTCTAAATACTTGTTTCTTTCCTTTTGTTTTGTTTTTCAATACTTGATAAATTTTGTATTTATTTACAACTGTCTATAAAGTATTTCTATTGAAATATTTACTAACTGATTGACAACTATTTAACTATCCAGAATTAACAAAACGTACCACTGAACTATTTTATTTTTTATTTTTTTTTATTTTTTTATTTTTATTATTTTTTTATGTTTAATATAGAAGGAGAAAAGTATTAATGCGTTTAACCGAAACTACAAACTTTCAATTACTCATAGGATTTTACTAATACTCTTTTTTCTACTGTTTCAGATCCGGTAACATGTGACCACTGTGGAAGGTCCTTCATGAGGAAATCTAGTCTCACAAGGCATCTGGAATTCTCGTGTCCTGTCTTGCAGCAGCGGCAGCAGAATATTTCAACAAGCATCACTTCGAAGCTGCCGTCAGCTTCAAACGGCGGGGACGACGAGGTTCCGGGCTTTGTGAATACTGAGAAGGCCTTCCAGTCTCGGCTGCGGACTTACGAGCTGCGCAAGAGGTTCGGCCGTAAGTTTACGCTTCCGCTGTTCTTTACATTTATTTTTGAACATCTGGCAACACTGTTAGCTAAAGTCCTGGAAATGTATGATGCCGTAAAGATTAACATTTTCATGGAATGTGAATTTGAAAACATTCATGGAGAAACATGCCGTAAAAATTTCAAAACTGTAAATTCTCCTCTCCTGCAGACTTCAGACATTGAACAATTCTGCTCTGACGTGTTCGCTAAACTCCTTCATGAGAAAGAAGAGTGCGACATGAAAGGGTCAGGTTGGACATTTCTGAAAGTCACAAAATTCGAAGTTAGGGTTAATCGATACGTTCCACTCAGGGGAGGATCCGGTTACATTCCGTTACCTAAGAGGTACAAAGGTGTCATCAACACCAGGAACAGTAATGAATTTTGTTTTAAGTATTCACTGCTTGCTAAATTTGTTACTCATAGGGACGCTACAAATCCCAATAGTTTCGCGCAAGATTTGTTTGAAAAGTACAATTGGCAATGCATTAATTTCCCGGTAAAGTTAAAAGATATCCACATCTTTGAAAAGGTCAACAATATTTCAATTAATGTCTTCGGTTTGGACGATGAGGGTCTTGTGTACCCTCTAAAAGTCTGTGACCACGAACTTGAGGATCACAGAGATTTACTTTTGTTGTCCAATAAAAATAAAGATACCCATTATGTTTATATTAATGATTTCAATCAGCTAGTCCATAGTCAATTGACAAAACACGATCGTAAGATTTATACGTGTAAAAAGTGTTTTGCGTTTTTTCAAGACACGCCTAACAAGTTAGGGCTTAGTGGTCAGCAGAGACTGGATGAACATGAACGGTTCTGTAGTTTTAAAAAACCTTTGCGCCTGGACCTTTCCTCTGACAAGGAAATCTCCTTCAAAAACCCTGAGAGAAGCCAGAAAAAGCGGTTCGTGATCTACGCCGACTTTGAGGCTTATCTCAAACCTAATGAACAAGACCCCCAATCAGATTCCCCTATTACCCACACACATGTCCCGTACTCCTATTGCTACCTTGTTAAAGACTCTGAGGGTGTATTTACGCAAATCCGCCAGTACAGAGGTCACGATGCTGCAAAACATTTTGTCAAATCCATAAGAAAAGACGTTTTGCACATTGGCGACATCTTGTATGGTGACAGGCAAATGACTCCGCAACTCTCCCCTGATGAAGAGGCTTCGTTTCAGGCAGCAACGCATTGCCACATTTGTGGTAAAGTGTTTACAAACGAAGACCTCAAGGTTAGGGACCACATGCATTCCGCTCCCTATAAGTTCCGAGGTGCTGCCCACAACTCGTGCAACCTTAAGTTTCACGAGCAAAACACCATAAATTGCTACTTTCACAATCTCTCGTACGACTCTCACTTTATCATACCAGAACTTGACAGTGATGCCGGTGAAATTTCAGTAATCCCCACTTCCGAGGAAAAGTACATTAGTTTCACAAAGTACGTTCCCTTTAAAAAAGCCAACCGTGGAGTACTAAAACTTCGTTTCCTGGATAGTTTGAGATTTCTCCCATCTAGTTTATCAAAGTTGGCTGAATCCCTTCCTAAAGATTGCCTTAATGAGACCAGGAAACGGTTCCCTGTAGATGAACAGTTCGAGCTGTTAACTCGGAAGGGGGTATTCCCATATGAGTATGTCTCTTCCCTTTCAAAATTAGATGAAACCAAACTCCCCGAAAAAGTCAAGTTCTACAGTAAAATGTCCCTCGAGCACATCTCAGACGAAGAGTACAGCCACGCTGAGAAGGTGTGGCGTACCTTCAATGTAAAAGACCTCGGACACTATAGTGATATTTATCTCCTCACTGATGTTCTGTTGCTCGCAGACATCTTTGAGAATTTCCGGCAGACTTGTCTGCAGACCCACCAGCTTGACCCCGCCCACTACATCACATTACCTAGTTTCAGTTGGGATGCAATGTTATTCAAAACTAATGTAAAACTAGAGACAGTTCAGGATCACGATATGTACCTCTTCTTTGAAAACAGCATCAGGGGAGGGATATCACAGGTTTGTAAGCGAAGGTCTAAAGCCAACAACAAACACTGTGATGGTTACAATCCGTCCCTTCCGTCTAAATACATCACGTATGTAGACGCTAATAACCTATACGGTTGGGCCATGTCACAATATCTACCCACTGGAGGCTTCAGTTGGCTCAATCAAGAGCAAATCGATAGCCTAGAAGTGGAGTCTTTGCCCGATGATGCTGACGTAGGCTACATCTTTGAGGTTGATGTTGAATACCCTGAATCCCTCCATGGACCCCACAGATGTCTCCCCTTCCTTTGTGAGAGAAAAGTCCCTCCAGGCGGAAAGATGTCCAAATTACTTACCACTTTAGAACCTAAAAGTAACTACATTGTACATTACCGTATTCTGAAACAGGCACTAAACCATGGTTTAAAGCTAACCAAAGTTCACAGAGCCCTTCAGTTCAATCAGTCTCCGTGGTTGAAACCGTACATTGAGCTCAACACGAACCTACGTAAACAGGCCAAGAACGATTTTGAAAAAGATCTTTTTAAATTGTTTAACAATTCTGTTTTTGGGAAAACGATGGAAAATTACCGTAAACGTATGAACTTCAAACTTGTGTCTGACAACAGAAAGCTGGAAAAATGCATTGCTAAGCCCAACTTTCTGTACAGCACAATATTTACTGAATCATTGGCTGGTCTCCATTTGGCTAAAACAAGCATCGTTCTTGAGAAGCCTCTTTATGTAGGTTCCTCCATATTAGATATTAGTAAGGAGCTTATGTACTGGTTCTTCTACGATGTGCTAGTAAACGAGTTCGGTGCGGAGAACGTGAACTTGTTGTACATGGATACAGACAGTTTTATCCTTGAACTGTACACTGCAGACATGTACGAAAAGTTCCGATCGATGATGCAACATCTCGATACAAGCACCCTCAACAAAGACAACCCAGCTTACAGTCCTACGAACGCCAAGGTGTTAGGAAAAATGAAAGATGAGATGAACGGTGAGTTCATTCTTGAATTCCTTGGCGTTAGAACTAAAGTTTATTGCATTGTTCCTCAGGACTCAAAAAATAAAGATATAAAAAAATGTAAAGGTGTTACTAAGGCTGTTGTTCAGCACAAGTTGAGGGCTGACCACTACAGAAATTGTATAGTAGACAATCTAGATTTGTATACAATGAATAGTACATTTAGGTCTACTAAACATAAGGTCTGCACCCGATGGGAGAACAAACTCACTCTCAGTGGTTACGATGGCAAAAGGTATTTGTTCGTAGATAATATAACTACATACCCCTATGGACACAGCCTCGTACCACAGGGTGCAGATCAAGATATGGATATCTTTTAAAAGCATGTTTCTCCTAAACGCATACCTTTATTTGGCCTATTAAATTTAAATTAATGTACGGTAATCTTCAACTTAATATATTTATATTTTATTTTTGTATAAATGTTATTTTAATATCAATAATCATTTACTGTGAAACATTTGTTTTAAATTTGTAATTGTCTTCTCTCAATACACATTTGACCTTTGTAAGTATTGTAATTATAAAAAATAATTTTAATGTAAATAATGTTTCTTGTAAATACTGTTTCTTGTAAATACTGTTTCTTGTAAATATAGTACACATTTAGTTGATGTAAAACTTCAATGGTTAAACCTCTTTTTGAATTGAAATTTATAAATTGAGTGGCTTGTTAGCACTTAAATTTTTAAAAAATTTGTAAACACTATATCTAAGGTGAGGGTTTTACAACAGAGGTAAAAATAAATACCATGTTTTGTATTTGACTGTGCATTTATTTACAAATCCCAAAACGAATATTTAAATAAGCTATATACAATATAATCATTTTTAGTTACATCATTCGTAAACCAAGAAATGTAGTCTTGCATTGAATACTCCAATGATCTAAAGTATAGATATGTTAAGCAAAAGTGTCCGCAAGCTGAGGAGAGGGTTCCTTGTAAAACGTTGTGGTTGTAGAAGTATTGCCAGCAGTTTCTCCTGATGAATCTGAGGTGGTCTGGCACACTCGGTGGTAGTCCAAAACTATCAAAATATTCAAGCTTGCCGTGTTCATCCAAGTAAATAGCGATCCAGTGAGTTCCATGCTTAGTATGCGGGTCCGTGTTGACTATAATTGCTGTTGAAGGAGCGATTTTGATTGGCAAACAATCTGATGCATATACACCTATATTCTGTACTGGTAGTTTATCCAAGTAAAATTTCACCTCCGTAGCATTCATGTTTGAGTTTGTATGTACCACTTTCGTAAATTAACACAGTTAGATAGTGCACAGTTAAGCTCAACACTCTTGTGGTTTTTGCATCTTAAAGAGTCTGAACTAAAAGTACATTTGAGAGTGTGTAAAGAAGTACAATTAAGTTGTTCCAAGTTTATAACATTACATTGCCTGGGGAGGAGAGTTTTGATGAAATCAGCTTTCTCTTTACCTTTCACAAACACGTGTGAAGCAAAATTAGATCTTAACTTTCTCAGCAGTTCCTGGTACGTTATGTCGCCATAGTCCCAATCGAGGCCGTGGTAATATTTCGTCAGCCAGTAACTTTCTCCACTCTTAATAGCTCACGGTCAAATGGTGGACAAACAATATGGTGAAATATTAAACATCCTGTTGCTATGTTTAAAACTGAAATTTCCTTGATTATGAAATTTCCGTCATTATCCTTGAAACACTGGATATCCAAGACAACACTCTCCTCACGATCCATATCTGATGAGTTATAGATGAATACTGATTATTGTTACTGTAACACAAGGTTATTTAACTGCCATAGTCAACAGTCACATTCCTGTTTTTATCAATTTCAATGACGTTGTCAAACTCTGCATAGATTATGCAATTAATTGTTTCACTCAGGGCTTCGGAAAATCCAAGCTCTATCCTTAAACTTCCATGACGAATCAGGTTCCAGTGGCTGGTGGCATTGGCAGAAAGGTCAGGTGTCAGATCAAACGCCATTAGACAGTTACCTTTAGAATAGTCTGTGCGAGTGATACTGTTTCCCATATTTAAAAAATGAATTCCAGTGCCGCTGAACAATGTGTGATATGACATTACTGACAATTCCTTATCTTCAGAGTAGTCCGGTTGCAGTGGTTTTGTGGGTATTTGAACACCATCCACATACAATGAGAAAAAGTTTAACTTATAAGACTGAAAGTTAAAGGGGTTCGATTTTATATCACCATTAAATGCTTTGTTGCTCACTAACCCAACAATTAGTCTTTTGGGTAACTGTCCTAGAAAAACATTGTCCAAGGTCTTACCTTGAATGCCTGAAGGGATGGTCATTGCTTTCACTTCAACACGTGTTATGGGGTATTTAGCTGTCCCACTTTCTAATGTCTTGCTGTGAGCCAACAATACTGTGGGGTTTATTTTATTCTTGCGTATCCAAAGATTAGCTTCTTCAATTTTGACTTTGTATTTGTCATTTTTAGACATTAAACAAAAGGTATCCCTGGATCTTACTAAACGTAGACGAAGTTCCACTCCATTAAGTAGAAATTTCTCTTGATTGAATAAATCAACATGTAAGTGACCAATCATATCGACGGTATTACTTGCTTTTGTAAAGTATCTACGGTTTACCAAGCCTGAATTTTTGTTCTCGCAGTCGTCCATTTCTCCTGGTGTATCATCATACCACAGAGCACAGCTGAGATGAGTGTTTTTTGCACTATCATCATAGTTGAGCAAAGTTTCAATATATGAACGATAGGCATAAGTATTGTTTTGTGGAGAAACCAGCTTTTGGTTTACATACAAGTCCACTTGACTAAACATTGAGTGTAGCCAATTGTTTACCGGACCAACCGATGTATCAGTTAGTGCTTCTAATTTTGTACCATCTGGTTTAAGGATACTTGCTTTAATATTTATCATGGTATTAGATAAGTCTGAATACTCATCACCATGCCCCGGCACTACGAATTCTATTGGTGAATCGTCTGTTAATGATGATATTGGTTTGTATTGAACCCATTTGCCACTCTCAATACTGGTTTGTGTAGCAGGTATAGTAAACAAATCTAGTTCCGATTTAACACACTCACATGACTGGTGGTGAAGAAATGCCATTATCCAAATATATCTTTCACTTGTTTAAGGGCTGAACTAACTGCTTTCTTCTTTTTTCTTCTTTGTGATGTCTTCTTAACGTGTGAGCGCTTCTTGTTGTGTACTGCAAGAAGTTTCTTCAAAGACTGAGGTGTAACATTAATTTTCCTCCTCTTATAACCAGACCCACTTAATACACTGTCTATTTTATTATCAGCCTTACGTTTTAAATTTGTTGTAAACTGTTTGACGCCAGCTGATATCGCCTCATTAGGAGGCACTGAGTTTATAACATCTTTTAAGACATTTATACTCGATTTAATTGCCTCCTCGCCCATAGTCTTTGCTCCAGACCGAAGGAGAGGTGTTATTGTACGAAACAATCCACCAAGAAAACGTCCTATACCATGTCACCTTTGGTAAGGTGAACCCTTATACACAACACTTACACCACTACCTAACTGATTGCGGTAGTAAGCTAAATAAGGATCATATACATTAAGAGTCGACATTATCTCAATCGTAAGCTCTCTTCCTAAAGTGTAGTTTAACACAGGACGTCCCGAACTTGAATGGCAGTTTTTTCCCTGTGTTGTCCCTTAAATCAATTTCAATGCTTTCAAAACTTGATTTTAGCACAGATATATAGTGCGGGCTATTAAACTGCATGAATCTACTACTACCATACACATAGTCGGTGGTGTCAACGTTTATCATCTGCAATAAAGGTGCCATATAGTCACCGACAAACTGTGGCTCTACAATATCGCAATATATGTATATCTGCGAAGGCAACCCTACTCTAAGGTTAGCTGGACGAATTGATTGGTTATTCTTGACCAGGTCATTTTCGCCAGGGTTAAAGCCAAGCTGTAGAGCTAACTGGTTGGATAGTTCAATCTGAATTACATGAGGTTTGTTAATCATCTCAACTCTTTTTGTTTTTTCATCATACTCAAAGAATGTATAGTCACGAATAGACGCATGTTTATTAATTTATCATATCTACAACCTCCTTAACATGTGTATAATCGCCTGGTGTAAGTGTTGCTGTTACCATTATTGGTACTATAGAATCAAAATCTGGCTCTTCCCCACTTTCCCATGCTAAAGTCTTGATCCTTTCGTACGTTTCCTTAGGGTATGCATGAATGTATATAATACTGTTTTCATTCAAAGTTAACAAAGAACAGGGGTAATGTACTTCAACTATCGCTACTTCCCAAGACCCGTCCAGTTTTATCGGGCGTGATAGTTGGGTGATAAAGTTCGCTACTGTGTTTTGAGGGTAGTAATCCATCGAACTGTTACTTGGTAAGGTGAGGTAAAACTGGTCATTCATATTGCTTGGAGGTCTGAAGCACGCACCCAGGAATTAAAATCGTCACTATAACCGTACCACTTCACTAGATACGCCTTACTGAGCCCCTTCCCCTTTGTGGCGAGTATTTTATCTATTTTAAAAGTTTTGCAATCACTAAGAATAACTTTCTGTAGTTCCTGTTCATAGAAGTACCCAACTATTGGTTCTTTATTTAAATCTTGCAGTTTATACATTGGATTGGGAAACTCTACCACATCTGTAACTCTGTAAACTTCTTCAGACCAGTTTGTTTCATATCCTTTTTCGAAAGTACCTTTAGATTTTGCTATGCGCACAAAATCATTAACAGATAATTTGGGATTTCGTATCTGTTCCTTTTTACCATATAAGGATAACCACACTTTGAATGAATTGGATTGGTTCACTTCATTAGGTGCCATGTTTATACTTCTGTGTCTACTACTGTTGTAAGAATGTACCAATGTATCTAGGACATCTATGTATCTATAGGTATTGTTATGTGTCAAGTAGCGCCACATGCGAGTTTTTAATGTCCTATTAAAACGTTCAACAACAGCCGCTTTGACATCTGGGTTGTTTGTTGTAAAGTAATTTATGTTTCTCCTTTTTAAAAATGACTTTACCTCTTTGGATGTAAATTCCAATCCTTTGTCGGACTGCAGGTTTTTCGGTCGGTTTTCTGTTTCTGAAAGAATTAATTCAAAAGCCTTAACAACCTCTGATGGAGTTTTCCTTTTAAGCGGTTTTACATATGCATATTTACTGAATACATCAATAACTGTTAAAATGTAATTTACATTATCGTTATACTTGCTCAATCCTCGCATGTCATTCAAGTCGCACTGCCAGAGTTCATTGATGGAGTATACAGTATATTTATTTCGTGGAAACCTTTTCCTTACCGGTTTATGAAGTGTGTACGTGTCTTGTGATTGAAGCCACTCCTTAACAGTTTGCTTCCTAATATTCTCCTTTGCGGCTGATTCCAACAAAGGTGCCGCTCCACGATAACCAGCAGGATGACCAGGGTCGTAGTAAATAGTTGCTAGATTTGACGACATTTATTTAAGTTTGAATGTCTCCCACATATATTTTCTGCTTTTATGCGTAGTAGATGGTGAAGGTGTAACAGATCTTTTTGGCGTGACAGATTCTTCCTCGTCCTGATCGCTGTAGGCCAGTGAAAGTGATGATTGAGAAAGTGGCGTGTCCTCTTTTCTTTTCCTGGTTACCGATGGAACAAATTTGTCTGCTGGTGATACATAACCTTTCAGCTTCTCATAGTAGTTGCGAGCAAATGAATTGGTTATAAATTCTACAGGTGTACTTATATCCTTTAAAGCATGCATCATTTGCTTCCATCCTTGTGGTTGGACGGCTTTCCTTACTCTTATGATATCATGCAATAAATCAATGACATTGGAATCTTTCAATGTCTCCCCATCAATATACACTGTACCATTATCATCCCAATCAATTTTATCATTTCTTTTTCTAATATGTTTTAACAAACTCATAGCCTGTGTTTTATACGTTTTTGGAAAAGATTCAACTATTTCTTCTATGTTTAAGGAATTATGTTTCTGTGTTGCTAAATCAATAACAGGTATCTGAAGAGGCTTACGTTGTTGACTGGCAAAATGTAAGTACCTTTGTAGAACCTGTTGGTATTGACTCCACTTATCTTGATCGCTAAGACTTTTATTATTAAGGAGACTGAGCATTTCCCTATCGAGTTCACTAACAGTATCATGCTTGCTACTACAAGGTTTTGTTTGGTTTTGAGGGTTAAGCTGCATTCTTTGCAAATCATCTGGGGAGATAATTATCATTTTCTTCGCATTTTCCATTTTGATTTAATTGAGTAGAGTTTGTAACACTGCACTTAAAAGTATTGGTAAAACGAAACCTCCTCCTTGCTGAACGATATATCGTTTTTTAACCTTAAAATTTTCACCTTTCTTCGCAAGTCGTCTAAGCACAACTTTATACTTGGCTAGTTTACGCTTTACTGGAGGAGTAACACTAACATTACCTAGTAACAGATTGTATGCACATTCACAGACTGACTGAATCAGGTCCTTGTCAGCTACTTTTAAAACACTTCGTCGCTGTCTTGGAGTCATGAGCGAAAGCGCTCGTAACAGATGAACATTCTTTTTGATAGTGTGAGACATTGTGAAACACTGAATGCTTTAACACTTACACTAACCTTATATCTACTTTCTACTTTGTTTTGCTATTTTTAGGAATATAGACATAATTGTTCGTGTCATTAGGAAATATGTTTGTCCTAAATCTAATTTCATCAGGAGTTGATTGTTTCATATCTAGTAATAAATATCCATGAGGTTGTTTCGTGGCATCGCTGTAGGCGTCCTGGATGAATTTTGGATTTTCTGGAAATACTTGCTGTGCTAAATGTCTAATCTGAGCTTTGTCTCTAGGATTTTTAAAACAGACTATATAATGTGCGTTTAATTATATATCTCTCTGACCTCTACCTTGGTGAAATAAGTTCTGAGTTATGAAAAACACACTTATGTTTTTATGGTGACAACCCTTTGTGAA